GTTTGAATTTATTTTATAAAATATTTTTAAAATTTAAAAAATTTAAAATCGTAAATATTTAAAAAATTAAAATATTAAAAATATTCAAAAATAAAAAAAAAATTAAAAAATTAAAAAATTCGTAACATATTTAAATATTAAAATATTTAAAATCTTAAAAAAAATTAAAATATTTTTAAAATTTGATTGAATGAGTTTTGAAAAGAGTTTGAAATTATGTGTTGGGTTATGAGTTTTGTAAAAGTAATGATTATGTTTTGAATTGAGTTTTGAGGAATGATGCTAGAATTTATATTTGAAAACCTAAACAAACACCATTGACTAAAAAATGAGTGTGGAACTAGATTTTAAAAACCCACCAACGGAGCCTAAGTTTCTTGTGTTTGATTTCTTAAGTAGTTTTTATGTAGTGGTGATTTACATGTATCTGGGATTGAATTAGGTTCTAATCTCACTCCGTAGGAATATTTCTTCATCACAAAAAAGAAAAAAAAATAAAAAATAAAAGAAGGGGTTAGGCTAACTATGATCACACTGGTGAAGAAAAATTGCTGTGATGGTCCCCTCCCACTCCTACCCTTCTTGTTTGATTTGGGGAAAAATTCCAAAATCAAATACTAAAACTAAAAGGCAATGCAATGCCGAACATGGAGAATAGCAGACATTTGAACCACCTACTCCTCTCCCTCTCTCTCCTCTCTCTCTCCTGTCTTTCACACACCACACAGAGGCAGACAAAGAACTGCAAACAAGAGAAGAAGAAGACTATAGAAACATGGTGGAATTTTTAAAACAACTGAAAGTGTTTGTACATACAATAAGTGATCGATTTTATTCAATCTCATTAACAGATGATAAGAGTAGTAGTAGTATTAGTACTCATTCGATGCTCGAATCTATGTGGTCATACAGCTGCATTAGCATCGGGACATGCATTTCTTGGCAATCAGCTAGCCTCGGGTACCCGCCGTCACTGCTGCAGTCACATTTCTTCATACCACTGGGACCGTGAGTTCCCGCCCCCAAGCACCTTGCCATGCACCTCAAAACAGCACACAGGGTGGACAACCGCTCTTCACCGATCACGGATGCAGGTACTGATTCACTACCATCCGAGGGAGGCTAGAATGGACATTGACTTCAGCACCAATATCAGTAGCACCATATACACAGCACTATGGTGAGTGGTGACAACTCCTTCTTCATTTTTCATCTGCTGAAGGGTCTTTAGGCCAATGGTTTCTATTAGCTGTGTCAAGCATTATAAGCAAATGAGAAGGATGGCTTTCTCTCGATCCACGTGGAGGTGTTGTTGGGGCTCCCAGTTGGAATCCACATAGTAGGCTTCCACTTCGACGATGTTTAATATGTTGATTTTGCTCAGGCATGTATTTAGATTGTTTATTTAAAAAATTAAATTTGATGTGATTAATTAGTAACTTATGAACTTATGGACTTTTTTGTGACAAAAGAAATGGACTGTATTTTTTTATTATCTTTGTGGCTATTTTTCGAATAAAATATTATCAAATTTTTATGATTATGATTATCTGATATTTTTTTTTCCATCAATAATCTATATATATAATTAAGAAAATGCACGAATTCTGATTAATTAGCATA